ACCACACGGCTTGCGACATGTAGACATCGCGCTTGAATCTGAAGAAAGCTCCGGGCATGCGATAAAGCCAAACCTTGCCACACATGCCACACACACATGGGAGAACCTAGGCCGCACTTCTCACCTTGAAGACAAGAAGTCAAGGTCTGGGTGGCGGGCGTGCCCGGGGCAATGGCAAGCCAAGCCAACATCTGCGATCAATGTTCACGTGCTTCATGTTGCATGATCCAAGCTCTGCGCATTTGTCATGCACAGGGCCACTGGGTCTCAGAAAAATATGTCAAGGCACTCTCTCTCGGCAAAATCTCAGACATGAGTCTGCGGCGGCTTTGGCACGCCGGTTAAGGTTTGCGGCTGGGCTTGAACCAACACTGCTGCTGATGCTTGTATGCCCTGGGCTTCAGGATTCGAGACTGAATGTGCTGGCAGCGAGCAGCCTGGCCTAGGCGTCACTGAACAGGAGCATTTCACCCAACGAACACTTGCAGAACCCAAGGGCAGCCACCCAAATCCACGGAATCCACGGAACTCGCGGACAGAATTGATTGGATCATTCCTTTTGATTGGGTCATTCCTCATGCTGCCTTGTTCTGCTGGCTATCAAAGTTAGGTCTCTACCCAGCCCCAAGACACCCGCATTCCCTCAAGCAAACAAAACCCCAAAACAACCCAGACTGCTGTTCTGTTTTAATTTGTGGGCGGCTTTGCCGCGCACCTTTTAGGGAAGGGTAGTGCAGGGCATTAAGTACTTAGAGCAGGGGTTCAGGGTCGTTTTCGCTACGAGCCTGTAGGATTATCAAGGAATCCTGAGTCTAGTCCGAGCTCCCTGCTGCTTCCAGCGGCGCCCAGTGCATCTGAGGCCGAGGAGGCGCCTTGGTTGAGATCTCAGCCGATTCGGACGGGGTGGTGATATGGGTAGACCGGGTAGAGTAGGAGCCAAAACAGGAGGAGGGGGTCGAAGATATTCCTTGCATAAGACTCCACACTGGAAGCGCCGGGGCCTCGTCGCAATGCCAACATTGGGATCTGAACTGCTAGACACGCCTCTCCTGAATTCCTCTTTGCAACCCTTTAAGCAGCGAACCCACAGGCAAAAGCAATGTAGTTCAGTGACGATGTTGGACTAAGAGACGGCCTGGCCCAAATCTGAAAGGTCTGAACGGTCGTTTTTGCCAGGCGGCTGACCCGCTGCCCCGACCCCTAATTTTAGTACTTTTCGGGGTTGCGCAAGCTTGTAGCCAACATGTCCACGTGCACGAAACTGTGGTTTTTAAGCACATTTGAGATTTTGAATTTGTCTTCAGAGCCTCTTGGAATGCAACAATTAGCGCCGAAACAAAACCAACTTTCCTGTTAACAACCCCACGTTTGAGCCCTTTTAACGTCGGTTTATGTTGGGGAGAGGCTGCTTAGCGTGTCATTTACAGTGTTTTGATGCGCGAGCAAACTGGAAAAACTGATTTTTCTTCGGTTTAGATGGCTGCGCTCACGTTGAGTGAGATCCTTGGTCTGCATGTGACGGTCCTGCTTCCGGGCAACACGAACTTGACGGCTTCAGCCATGCGTTTGAGGCACCGCTGCCCACTGTGTGGCAAGAATGGTCGATGTGCGGACTTGTCCGCTGCCGCTAAGAGGTTTGTTGCTGCGTTGAACGCGCTTGCCAAGTCTCGACAGAGCGGCCGCAAGCCTTTAGAGGGCAAGACGCGTCGCTGCTGTCCTGACCCGGAGCGCAGTGCTGCCTACAGAAGCAAGCGTGCCAAGCGCAAAGCAGGAGCGTCTTGGTGGCGTGAGAAAGGAACGCTGATACCGAAGCACGTTGGGCAAGGATTTCAGCAAGTGTTCCATGCTGGTCAAGATAATAACGTTCATGTTCCTAGTGCATCCATGATCGAGA